TAATGATTATCCATGTGTAACTTGTTCGTAAAGCAAGTTAGTCATTAGACTTTCTGATACAAAGATCAATATTGAATCTCCGACTTCCTCGAAAATGATTCATGGAGATATATGTAGACCGATATACCCATCATGTGGACTATTTCGTTATTTTATTGTATTAATTGATTCTTCTACAAGATGTTCACATATTTGTCTACTTTCTACTAGGAATATAGCTTTTGTTAGACAACTAGCTCAAATTATAAAATTACGAGCGCAATTCCCCGATTACTCAATCAAGACTATTCGTCTTGATAATGCTGGTGAATTTAGATCACAAGCATTCGATGATTATTGCATGTCAATTGGAATTGTTGTTGAATATTCGACTGGTCATATCTATACAAAAAATGTGGGTTTTGATTCACCGCCTATTATTAGATATCTTAAACCTTTAACAACATGTTTTGCAGATTGTCATTTTGATGACATAATTTTCCCAACTTTGGGAGAGAAAAAACCACTTCCTGATAAATTGGGTAAAATTTCTTGGAATGATGCAACTCTAACTCACTTTGATCCCCACAACAATCATTCTGAGCAAGATGTTGAAAAAATTATTCATTTGCAAAGAGTTGCAGATCAATTACCAGATGTATTTGTTGACACAAAAAAAATAACAAATTCATTTATACCAGCAGAAAATATCCAAGCAAAAATTGATGTCCACACAGGACAATTTGTTGTAGCAAATGAATCACAAATATGTAAGAAGCATGGTCGACCAATTGGTTCAAAGGACTCTGTATCTCGAAAAATAAAAGTACAAGAGAAAAACCAACCAAAAACTTAAGAAAAAGTAACATTAAAAAAGATTGATCAATTAAATATTGAAAATATGGTTCCTGAATAACAACAAGTGTCCAAAAATACTAGATTTTAATAAATTATATGATATCTCATAAATTATGGAAAAGAAATAATGTTATTATAGACAATATTTACACATTTAACATGGCTCTTGATATTATGCAAAATGAGGATCCTAAACCTCAGTCTATTAAAAACTGTCAACATAGAAATGATTGGCCAAAGTGGAAAGAAGCTATACATGAGGAATTGAATTTCTTAAATAAACGAAAAGTGTTTGGATTTGTAGTTCAAACACCAGAAAATGTAATCCCCGTTGTATACAAATAAGTTTTTATACGAAAGAGAAGTGAAAATAATGAAATTACAAAATACAAAGTCCGACTCGTAGCTCAATGTTTTTCACAAAAATCAGGAATTGATTATGACGAAATATATTCTCCTGTAATGGACACCATCNCTTTTAGATTCTTAATTAGTTTAATGTGTTATACAAAGGCTCGAAATGCTTCTTATGGATGTAGTAACTGATTATTTGTATGATTCACTAGATATTGATGTACATATGAAAGTCCATGAAGGATTCAAAATGCAAGGAACAAATTATACATGCCGAAAACCATATTCTAAATTAAATTGCATAGATCATTATATGGATTGAAACAATCTGGACACATGTGGTATAATCGCCGCAGCGAATATTTGTTGAAAGAAGGCTATAAAAATGACAAAGTCTGCCCATATATTTTCATAAAGAAAACAAATAT